CAATATACAGAACAAGTTGGTATTACCGAGAACTGTATTGAGAACATGAGGACGCAAGAGGTTAGAAGAAAGGAGGTTCAATCTTAGACTGCGAAAAGGGTTTTTTACTGTGCGCGTAGTATATGTGGAATTCCCTTACACAGGCAGTGGTTTCTGCTGATAGCGTTCATAAATTCAAGAAACTTCTAGATGAGTTTCTTCTTTCACTACATATACAAGGATATGTGAAGTGTTAGAGCCATATACTGTATATGTAGACACACAAACACATACACAAAAAAACATAGGTTGAACTGGATGGACCTTTGTCTTTATTAAACCTCACCTACTAAGTTAATATGTCGCCATCTTTGTCTAAAATTAGGAACTTATTCAGGGAGGTTCTATATACTTTTTCTCCACTGGACTCCATGGAACCAGCAGACCCATTCTGCTGCAGCTGGAGTTTAACTAGCTCCTCTTTGTGTTACAGAAGCAGCTTTGTGATGCAGAATGAGCTGGAGATGTAACGGTGGATCAGCTGAGTTTAGAAGTTGTTGGTTGGCCCCCATCTGGCTCTCAGGCTGGTCACCCTGGACATCACATCCATCTGCATCTTGTGGTGGGGAAGACTCCTTCTCCTGGGTATCGCATCCTGTGACATCAAAGAAAGGGGTTGGTCTGCTCAATCATGCTAATCCAGGGCACAGACCATCTGCTCCTTCATCTGGCCCTTGTGGTCTGGATGTTTTTGACCTAACGCAGATTAAGCAGATCACCTTGGCTTTGCTTCTTGTAGCTGATCCCTTTCTCAGCCAAAATAAAGATAGAAAGAAAAACAAGAGGGGAGGTTGGGAACATATTGCCAAGCATGTCTTAAAGGAGAACTATGAGGTGAGTGCTTTTCACTCACCTCATAGTTCTAGCCGAGCTGTGACAATGATCGGGAGGTGAGCGGACACATACCGGCGTTCGCTCACCTCTCGATCCTGTCACGGCTCTCTGCCATGACAGGGGAGGGGCTGGATTCCCCCCTCCCTGCTCCGATAGCACTGACTGGCGGAACAGACGGGGAGAGGGCAGGTACAGCTGGCTCTGCCTCTGGATAGGCAGAGCCAGCTGTCAGTCACGCAGCTGGGCGGATCCCGGCACAATTGTCGGGATCCGCTTCAGCTGCGGCGTCTCAGTATACCGCGAGCTACAGCTCGCGGTATACTGAGCTTAGGGTGACGGGAGGACACTAGTTTGTGTCCTCCCGTTACCCTAAGGAGAACTATGGGGAAAAGCCTTAACCCCATAGTTCTCCTTTAAACATTATGCACAGAGTGGACTTCTGCAGAACAGTCACTTCTAAAAAGCTTCCAGCCTTTGGTACATGGGTTAATGGATTAAACCATGCACTAACATAAAATAATCCCACACTTGATAAGTGTCACTTATCAAGGTACAGAGAGCACAAGGATGAAGCCAGACAATGTGCACAGTGTCGCCGTCCATTGTGCATCCTTTTTTTTTTTAAAGATGCTTTTTATTGAGATTTTCAAGTGTCATAGACACAAAAATAAACACTCTTCAGACATACATCAATCGGGTCAACATAACCCAGGCAATTATGCAATTATGCAGTATCTACACACTCTGCACATATCATATGATCATAAGATTACAAGGTTACACAGTCATATGGTTACAAGATTCAATACGTGGTAGTCACCCTCCAACTCAGGGAGTATGCAACATAGGGAGTTGGACACAGCCACATGTAGTCAACATAGTAGGAAATACGTCCAGGACTTCGGAGAACCAGAATGGGGTCAGTAGGCTAAAGAATGAGAGTGTATTCAGTACTTCACCCCATCTCTACAGGTGTGTTAGAGGAGGACAGTCATGGATCCCAGATACGCCCGAAACGTGCCGGGTTGCCCCTCTGCTCGTACGTGGGTTTGTACATGGGCAATGCCTGATCAACTAGACTTTTCCACTAGCCCAGGGAAGTAGCCGTCGGGCTACCCCAGACGAGGAGGATGGTCTTTCTGGCATAGAATAAAAGGAGGCGGAGGAGCGTTTGAGTTCTTGAGGCCAATGGCACCTACCCACATAGACCTAGGAGGCAGAACGCAGGGAGTCGGCCTCCCGCCCGCATCGCTTGAAACAACGCGAGGTCGGGTGAAAGCCGAGTCTATGTAGAAGAGTGGGAGTGTAGTATACCTGGTAAAAGAATTTCATTTGGATCAATTTGTCTTTAGAGGCTATCACAGATGACATGTAGCTACCCTCAAAGTCTCCCCAATCATCCTCCACTAGATCCGGGAGGATCGACCGCCACCTCTGTTTGCGGCTGTCAAACCTACTGGATCTATAGGACATAAGCTCCCCATAAGTAGAGATCAATTTTGCTGAGTCATCTCTTCGCAGCAGCCCTTCCAAGGGTGACTGAGTTGGTGTAAAAGCGGTCGACCCAAATTGGGTTCGAATCGCGTGTAGGAGTTGAAAGTAGGCAAAAAAAATCACACCGGGAGAGCTTCAGCTCCCTCCTAAGCTGTGGAAAATCAGGCATCACCCCATTTTGAAATAAGTGAGACAGAGATTTAATGCCTTTTGAGGACCAGAAGGCGACCGATGGCAGGCGCTGCAGCTCTGGGAGGGCGGGATTGCCCCATAAGTGTGGAGTAAGGAGAATGGCACCATTGGGATAGTGAGAATCGATTGACAACATATCTTAGGATACAGACAGTCACAGAAATCATGACTGCCCCTTGGAGCTTTTGGTTGTGATTGAACCCCCTATAGACAACATTTTGAAGGGATTCAAAGGATGTTAGTATGGCTGCTTCAGTTGCCGTACTGGTGTTCCCAATCTGGGGGACCTGCCAGTCATGAACCACCACTAGTTGGGATGCAAGGTAGTACATATGAAAGTTAGGAAAGGCCAGGCCGGCCATCGAGCGAGAGAGCTGCAGCACCTCCAAGGCCACCCTAGGGGTATGACCCCTCCACAGAAATACCATTGTGCATCCTTGGAAGTTAACCAGCACACTGGCAAATTATCACAATGACCCGAAGTTCCCTAATTCGGACAACGGAAACAACCAAAAACATTGCAAATACAATGTGCACTGAGTGGCCAGATTATTATGACCACCCCATCAGTACTTCGTTGGGCCATGAGATTACTTCGTTGGGCCGCCTCGTGACTCCACGAGATGTTGAAAGGTGATACAAGCAATCTGACACTGCACTGTTGCCCTTCTGTTGTCTTATACCAGTCTTGCCACTCTCCGTTCTGCCCTAACATTGACTAGTCGCTGAGGGCCACAATTCGCAGGTTCAGACCCAGATTTTCGGCTGACAGTCCAGTCTTTAAACACTTTAACAACAGCTGCTCTTGAACATTTAACGAATTCTGCTGTTTTGGTAATACTCGCTCTATGGCTTGAGTGCCAACAATCATCCCACGTTCAAAGTCTGTTAAATCGCGTTGTTTACCCATATCTTCAGAAAAAAATCACTTCTACTGTCGTGGTAAACAACCTGCTTCCCTATTTATAATGGTCTGGCCCTCTAGCAACTTCAGCGCGAAATTCTAGCTAATTCTAGCTAATTTGCCTACAAACGTCAGGTGGTCATAATAATCTGGCCACTCAGTGTATATCCTACCGCTGCTACCAGATGATGCCCACATCCACTTGCCGACTAGAGCAACATCTTTGTTTGGGAGAGGAGAGAAGAGAAAGAGTTTGCGTTCGGGGTGGTAGAACAAGGCTATAAAAACAGTTATCACAGCCTGCAATACCATCAGCCATCATCAGAGGAAGAATCTCAATCTGTAAAAATCTAGTTAGCTGGACACACACAGGCAGACACAAATCTTGCATACAATCTGGTGCACTTTAGGACTGTGTAGTAGCTAGGTGATTCCCACATGTTTCTGAGATCCCCAAGCTATTCTGTTACCTGGAATCCTTGTGCAACCACTTTTCCAACACACACCAGAGGGTAGAATGTCACCACCTCCAGTTTGTTGATTGGCCTACCAGGCAACCCACACACATATACACAGGTCCCTGTTGTGGACATGAGATCTGTCCCTGCTTATGGTACACAGGATAGCTTCCCACTGACACTAATCTGCATGATTGGCTGTCTCATTTTTTTGTCAGCCACCCACGGCAATTACAGAGCACCCAATGGAACAGCCTCGCAATTAAATATCAAATGTATCAGCAGCAAGTTTAGGACCGAACTTACAGGCAATGGCAATATTAGAACAGTCTGTCTAGGAATTGTGATCACTTTGCTTGGTACACAGGTCAAATTATTAATTTTATATTTAATACCCATAGCAGGGCAGTGCAAATAAATATGTTCAGAAGTAATTATTTCAAAATAAAAATGAGAGAAAAACAGAATTTAAACTTTACCATTTGGCAAATATTGTTCTATCCTATGCACTGCGCGGCTGTGGGAGCACATCAGAGAAATACAGCAACTACATTGTTCTGAACAAGCTCCAGACGAATTACACAGTTCATTTTAATGTTACTTTTTACAGGGGTAAATATATGGATATGGAAATGGGCCAAATGGTTATAAAAACAGCAGGGAAGAGTATTTCAGCAGACTGAAGGTAAAGTGGTGGGGTTGGTTGGGGGGTTTGAACCAATAATTGTGCCATCAATTTTTGCTTTCTCAAAGGAGGGGGTTTTTAAAGTACCACTGACCACCAATGATTGTGGGATTTTTTTTTCATTTTGTTGGGGGTGGTTGTGTTTAAAGTACCAGTGATTCCCAATGATTGTGGGTAGATGTAAGAAAACACACTACTTTATACAGTAAATAATTTTTTTTAAAAACAGTAATTATTAATTACCACAAAAAGAAAGCTAGGAATGCATTTGGAAACAATGTTGATTGACCAAGTAAATGTCGGCCAAACAATCACAGCACTGAAAAATGGCCTGGTAATGCATGGGTATATACAGTCTAGTACTCAAGTGGTTAAATTATTGTTCCACACTTACCTGAGGCTGATAAATGCTGCTAGGGTCCCTTGGACCTAGTCCTACAAAGGATCGGTTTGCAGGAGGTGTACTAGGGGCAGAATACGCTGTTAAATGAAAAAGGATTGTGATTTGTAATTTATATAAAGCAAGATTTTAGGTGCAGTGTGTGTTATAAAGACTACACCTACAAACCTTTATAACAGCATAAGCACAAAGAAAAAAAAACACAGTAGACCAGACCACAGTAAAAATGTAGCCAGATGAGTATTCTGAGCATTGTTTCTGACCCATAACTGAAATTGCAGTTTTGCGTGCTGACCAGAAAAATTAATTACACACTGGCTTCTTATATTTCTTAGGTGGCTATTCACAAAGGAGCCGAAGGATATAGGCATAGCCTTGGTTCAGTTGAACCGAAGGGCTGCTGTACGGGCTATTGGGCTGCTGTGCGGGTTATTCATAATAGCCCGTACAGCAGCCGAAGGCGGGCGAGTGGCTCAGCCAAACCAAAGACCTTTGCTTCGGCTCTACTGAGCTGAAGTGTCAGCCGAAGCGGAGCGAACGGCCTGCCGAAGGCTGGCCTTTCGCTCAGCAAATGACAGCTGGGCGTAGCCAGCCGTGATCTCACAGCTGCCTCTGGCCAGTTGTTATGACAGATCAGCGTTCCCAAATGACCTGGGGACGCTGAACTGTCATTAAACAATAACAACTGGGCAGAGCTGCCCGTGACGTCAGGTGCTGGCCAATAGGAAACAGTTGGGCAGAGCTAGCTAATAATTGTATTATTATTATTTTTTTTTAAATCTTAAAATATTTTTTCTTTTTACTATTTGTTGGCATTTGAAAAATATTTTTTCATAAACATTTTTTTTTGAAGACTCTTTATTGATTTGCTATTCTGCTCGGTACCACGGAGGTACCGAGCAGAATAGCCGAGCTGAATGCCGCTCAGCGGCATTCGGCTATTCGCGAGCTGAATGCCGCTCAGCGGCATTCGGCTATTCGCTCACGCCGTATGGCCCCTATCTGAATAGGGGCGAATGGCAGCGAGTGAGCTGCCGGAGCTTCGGCTCAGCCGATCCAGATGTTGGATCAGCTGAGTCGAAGTCCTTCTGCACTTGGGCTCAGCTGAACATGCAGAGCATGTTCAGCTGACTGAAGTGCAGCCGAAGGCAGCCGATGTACGGTAGAAATCAGCCATACTGAGCCAGGGTAAATCGGCTCACTTCACTTCGGCTGGCTTATTCACTTGGCTGCCTTCGGCAGCTTTGTGAATAACCCCCTTAGACTTTCTCTCTCTCCAGAATTCCCGTTTTGCCGAACTGACATTCTCTTGTGAATTTTGCATAATGTAGAATAGGCAAGGAGAGACCAGACAGAATAAGAAATAAGTGAATCAATTCCCAGTTGTGTAGACAAAACTGAAATAACAGTTTTGGGAGGAGCTGACCTTAAAACGTATAGGCATTTTAGACATACTAATATCCATTTTAAAGTCATAAATACATTGTTGGTTGCAATATATAGTTTGATGCATACAACACCTAATCCTGACTGCATGGCTTCGGCTCTGATTTGGGGATTAAGAATAAGGCAGCTCAAGAACTTGTCTTTGCGATATCAAAATACCATTCCTTACAGAGAACACAGAATATTTCATTGCAAATTCAACTCACCAATAATCAAGAAAAACATACTACATTTAGTAAGAAAAAGTAGGATTTTTGTACTCGCTATAAAATCCTTCTTTCGGGGTCTATTAAAGAACACAACTTAATAGTAAGAAAACTATCGTTATACGGCTTCCTCAATGAAAAGCAGATTACAGGCACATAAAAAACTGAAGGCCAGCCTTCTAGATGCCAAACCCCATTCCACCTCACACCTGCCCAGTCATAGGAATCAGTCCAAAGAGACTCTGTCATTAAAAAAAAAGAATGGACAAGGCTAGATATCTGACCATTGATGGTATTAAGGGCCAAGTGTTCTACCCCCAACTGAATATAAGAAAGAACACAGCCCACCAAAAAGGAAACCCCCAGAGACTCATACCACAAAAATAAGTTTTGCACATTCGATGATAAACCTTGCAGGAAGTGGATTTACATCAGCCTCCTGTTGAACCAAGAAACTAGCAAGTTTACATTCAGGTTCTCGAAACTCAGACACATGTCCATAAATACATCTGGATACAGATGTTGTCTGCTGAAAAAAATCTGCCTACCAGTGGTCACCCAGAGAGATTGCTGGAAACTTGAAGGTCCGAGAAGCACTGGCCTTTCCTGAATAGCCAAGTCCTGTGCTAACTAGAACATAGATAGGTTGTTACTGCTGACTGGGAAACTCCTCCAGGATTTCAGGTATCCAGCCTAAACCTACCTGTGGCTGTTAGATAAACCATCCATAAGAGACATCCATTCTCCTAAAAACTAAGAAACTGAGCAGATACAAGGTGGCATGGGGTTATAGCCTTAAAGGGGAAGGCCTTCACGTTTTCTATGTGCCAAGTGTCTATTTCTCCTGCAGGTAGCAGTACAATCCTATTTTTACTTACTATTAAGCTGTGTCTCTAAAAGTACAATAGAAAAAAAACTTTTTTTTCTCTCAATGAAAGATAAATGTTTCTATGAAGTAAATAACAATATACATTATCTGTTTGAGTAGACCCTTCATGAAATTTGTAGCAAGCAAAGGAAACTCAGTAATGCTCAGTAACATTCATCAAACATGTAAGGCTGCATTATCAATGCACAGTGTTTATAATTGCACTATAATTTTGTGAATACCTTAGTGCCATAAAAGGTACTCACTTGGAGAAGTGGGTGAAGAGGTACCCCCATCAGATGCAGTAGTAGATTTGGTGTCGGAGGGCAATGCAAGACGGGGCATTCCGGGAGGAGGTGGGGCCAGCATCTGCGTGGAGATATAGTGACTTGAAACCTTCACCTGGCCGCTCCCATTCAGCTGAGATAGCAAGTGGGTGGAGAGCAGATATAGTAACAGTCTAGGGCATAGCCCCAGAAGCATAATATTTTAAGGGAAAATACCCAACTTAAATAATATTTTATGAGGCTATATACAGAAAACCACATGTCAACATCTACAAAACTATCATCATTCCCCACTTATTTTACACGTGTCACTATTATTTCAACCCAGAATGTGCTACATTGTCTATAAAAACATATTCAACTTCTGTTTTTATAACGCTCACATGCTTACCGGGCCAGGTTGCTGGTTGGACGGGTCACAGGCAAGGGATACCAAGTCTTTCAGGGGATCCTGAGGGTTGAGGTGAGGAGGATAGCGGATTGCTGTGTGTGGGAAGTACGTAGAAGCAGCCTGGGGAAGTAAGGAGGAAGGGGGGAAGTGTAATGTTGTGGAGGTATGGGGACTGCGTGCCAGACCTGAGTAATGCAAAGATAGTGTAGGAGAAATGGGAAGAGAAAAAAAAGAGAGGGATAAATAAACAACTGATATAACAAAAACAAGAAGTTTTGTTATGTGTAACAATAAAGGCTGATGCATACAATTATACCTATATAAAATGTAAACTGCACTTAGCTTTCTTGTGAGTGCACAGTTCAGTACTCACTGAAGGCAAAGCCAGCTGTCCCCGCCCGTCCGTTCCTCCAGTCAACGCTGGAGGATCAGAGAGGGTAGGGGGGAATCCCTGCAGGGAGATGATCGGGAAGTGAGCGACGGTATGTGTTCACTCACTTCCCGATCAATAGAGCCAACGTGTGAAAGTTTCAATGTTTTGGGTCTTTTCACTCACCACTGTGCACAGCTATGACCGGCCTGTGATGCTGAGTAAAGCCGCTGATTCTTGGAGATGTGTCTTGAGGAGAAGGACTGTGAAATGGTGATTTATCCAATTCAGATTTCTTCACAGTTGGAGACATTCCTATCCAACCAATTACAATACAGAAAACATTTTAGACAGGATTATATGTTTTCATGCAAACTTTGTAGACACATTTGACTAAATAAGGAGGCGCTGTACCACTAAGATCTTATTACAGGCTAGTAAGATAAGCACCCACTGATAAAGTATATGTGAGATTATGACACTAGTTTATATACTAATTATGGGTGGTTTAAGTATACATATGGTGTAGTCTGGAATAATGAATGTAGTCAATTATCTGTGCAAAATTAGAGAACAAAGCCAACATGAAGCACAATCTCAATATTTTTTTCAATAGAGTGCTGAAGGTAATACAATTTAAAAGATGTGACAATAGAGAATATTTTTAGCATTAAAAGTAAAAATACCAAATAAAAAAAGAAGAAATTGTCCAAAGATGACAATGTATTGGAGAGCCTCTGATGTCAATTTTAACATATCTAAAAAATGCCTTCGATGGACAACCTTCATAGAAAGGTTCTCCAAAGGGCTGTCTTTTTTAATGCTTGCAGTTTTTAGTGCTAATGATTAAATTAATTTAAAAAGACTAATTATATTTTCAGAACCCTTACCATGTGGTTGAACCAGAGGAAGGCAAGAAAAGCCCTTTTAAAGCATTCTCCAATTTGTTCAACAGTGAAATAAATCAATTTCTATTTTGTGCATTTAGAAACACATCCAGCCCTCTTTTAAAGCAATCTACCGAGCTAGCTAGAAACAGATTCTGTGGAAAATATTTCACATTTTCAAAACATGGATATTGATAATGATAAGGTACAGAAAGATTGAAAAAGTATTTTTTTTAGACAATGCGATTGCAATCCAGTTAACCCCTTCCCATCATCCTTTGTGCATTAACGTCCTCTTGGAAAGATCCCTGTGCGATGTGGCCTTTATTAAAGTCGTGTGTTTCTAGCTGTAGCACCCTCTGGATCAGAATGATCTCCAGAGGTGGGTTATAGAGTGCTTTGGGGGGAACGCAAAGACTTGATCAGTAACCACACTGAGTAGTTAAAGGAGAACTATGAGTTGAGTGATTTACACTCATCCTCATAGTTAGAGCCGACGTGTAACATTGATACTGTCACACGTTGGCTCTATTGATCGGGAAGTGAGCGAACACATAGCGTCGCTCACTTCCCGATCATCTCCCTGCAGGTATTCCCCCTACCCTCTCTGAACCTCCAGCGCTGACTGGAGGAACGGACGGGGGAGGGGGCGGGGACAGCTGGCTCTGCCTCTAGCTAGGCAGAGCCAGCTGTCAATCAGCCAGCTGGGTGGATCTCGACAGTATTGTCAGAATCCATCCTGGCTGCACCCTTTCAGTATATAGCTCACAATAGCTTGCTATATAATGAGCTTTGGGTCTAGGGAGGAGGTTGGTATATGTCCTCCCGTGACCCTAAAGAGAACTATGGGATAAAAAGGTTACCCCATAGTTCTCTTTTAATGATCAAGTGATCAGCATGATCAACACTTTACCTGCTATTCACCCTGCTCTCTTAGAACCTTTAATTGCCATGCTTTTAAAGCCAAAGATTGAGAATTTTTGGTCCCTGAGACAGAAGGTCTGGATGAGTGGAAGAGGCCATGGATCATCTTTGACTAGAAAAATTATGGCCAGTACAGAGCTGCCAGAATGGTAGGAATACTTTCTGACTTGATTCTCCAAAGGAGCAATGGAAGAAGCTTAAATAGGGGAAAAGCATAGATGATGTTCATGGGTTTTCCAGAGCATCAGTTGCATCTGCTAGACGGTCTCTTGTTCTGGCTATGACCCTTGGAACCCTTTTAGTATGACAGGATCATTTGGTGTGCCCAACCGTTTACAGATATGTAGACACTTGTGACTGAAAAAGTCTGAATGCCAGTTATTCACTTAAGGTTTGTGAAACACCAAGAAACATTTCATCTAACAAAAGATGTGCTCTATCTCTTGTGCTGTGGCCTAAACTCTTGTGCAGCTTGGATGGTTTATGTAAGCATTGTTATTGTTAGACTGTATCCTCACTGACTGGCCTTTCAGTAAGGAGGTTCAGTCGATGAGTAAGGGGCAGATACTGTTGGGGACTAGTGATAGGCTCGATGTTCGAGTCGAAAGTGAGTTTGAATCGAACATCGGCAGTTTGTGTGTTCGGCAAACTGTCAGGGCGTTGGGAGGGCTGATCGGCCGCTGAGCGTCCCACAAGGTGCTGCGCCTTGTGAAGCCCTGATTGGCTAAAGCCTTGCATCTGACCTTTTTTGTAAAGGGGTACCCTGATGTGAATAAGCCCTCTGCCCGCACTCCCCCCCCCCCCAACCAATGCCCCAGGGCTTGTGGAGAAGAGGCCCTTGTCCCCATCGGCACATGGACAAGGTGCTTTTCCAGGGGCAACCCCGGAAAAGCACCCTCCCAGTGCCGAGGGCATGTGGCCTGGTATCGCAAGCCTGCTGTCAATCATCAGAGGAGTGACCTGAAGACGAAAGCTCTTCATCAGGTCCTCTTCTGCTGATTGACAGCAGGCAGTGGGCGGATGCAATAGCCAGCTTGTTATTGGCTATTGCATTTTAAAATATCCAATAGCAGGCAGAGGTGGAACAGGCCGGACCAGAGGAGACACGGAGGTAGGGGGGGCAGCGGGGAATGCAGTCACAACGGTCTCTCCTCTCCGCTGGTGCCGACTGCAGTGGTCTGTGTCTTCGCTGCCTCTGCCGTTACAGGCATGGAGAGCAGCGGGGATTTAAAGGGACACAGACTGCTGCAGCCAGCACCAGCGGGGAGGAGAACAGAGGAGCACAGCGGCACCAACTAATCGTAAAAGCAACTAATTGATGATGAGAATTGTTGCCAATGATTCCCATTATCGATTATAATCGATTTACTTGATTAGTTGTTGCAGCCCTATTTCCCAGTATAAGTATTGATACTTTTTCTCAAGTACTCACCAATACCAAGTACCGATACTTTTTTTTTTTAGTGTCATGTGAGTTTTTCTAAAACAATACGCACAAATGATTTTAGGACATTGTGACCGCTGCGGCCCTGGTAGTTTTGTCACTGACTTCAACCTGTAGATCTCTATGATTAAGCCTGTGTGGTGAAACGCGTTATGGGTTTGCACATGGGGACTGCTATGATGGTGTAACTCTGCGTCTGCTGACTTATTTCAATAAAGACTGATTTTATGCAAAAGGACCCGTGGAGTGCGGCTGTTTTGAAGCTAGACACCTACTGCTCTTTGTCTGTACTCCGTATGCTCCAACACTGGAATTTGGCGGTAGGTCATGTGGCATCCCCGAGTGTCTGCAGTGTAGCTTGGTGTCCTGGTCATCATGTGGCTTAAAACATGGCTGACAGTTTAGAACTTGTGTATTGGCCAGTCATACAGCACTACAAGCCATGCTGTGATTTCCTTACTGCAGAGGTGATACACAGGCACTTAAATGGCAGAAGCACAGTAAACAGGAAGAAGCCCAAGAAGGGCAGGACCTCGTGGCAGCCGAATCAATTTGAATAATTAAAGCGCCTATATAAGTTTTTGGTATCTTAATATTTGCACTAGTACAAGTATCGGAATCGGTGCATCCCTAATGTTCATCAAATATAGCATCCACAACTGAAGTCGTAGAAAAAATGGATGCAGGCAGGTCAGATAATGGTTCTGTCATACAATGTTTCTGCCAAGAAAGGCATAGAGGTGCGTTTATGTGTTCTGCTGTCAGAGTCAGCAATTTGGTCCATAAAATCCAGCACAACTGTGGTGAAATCCTGCCTGGTGAAAAATGAGGCAGTGGCCACAATCAATGGAGCCAAGAAGGAGGAATCGGAAAAGCACAAATACTAGGTAACACCTTATTAACCAACAGTGGGAGCAAGAATGGAAAAAAAAAATGGCAAACACCAGCAACGACTAACCGAGGTGGAACCATGTGTCTCTTGCAATTAGGAGCAGTGAACGGAAGGTGCTAATAAACAAATAGCTCCAGGTGCTCCAGCCAACTTATTAATAAATCTTCAGAGAGTGGGTCACTAAAGGCTGTGGCATGGCTCTGTACCTGGAAGCACTATGAGGCTAACTAGCACAGTACCCAAAGGCCTAAAAAGCACCACAAACAGAGCCCAATGCCTAAAGTTCACATTCCAGGTAGGTCCCACAATCGTCCAGACCACCAGGATGGCCTCTAAAGCTATTGCTGAGGATATGCTGATCCGCATAGCTGCATAAAGAGATGAGCTTAAACAATTTGCAGATTAAAAAAAAAAAGTACTAGGTTAGTAAAGCGATTAAACTTAGATGCTCAGCCTACTAGGACACTAGTAAAAAACTAAGGCATGCTGGGAATATCATACACTACCAAACATTCATCTACTGAATAATGTAAACATAAAATGCAGCTATACATTTGTTACTTCTCACACAGATGGACACTGTTTCCTGTAGGAGTGAAACTTAGAAAGGTGTGCTGCAAATATTTTCACTATAAGGTTTAGGCATTATTGTACACTGTGGAGCAAACATTGTGCTTGGATAAGAGTTAAAGGAGAACTATGAGGTGAGTGAAAATCACCTCATAGTTCAAGCCGACGTGTGACAATGAAACTGTCACATGTCGGCTCAATAGATCGAGACGTGAGCGAACACATACCGGCGCTCGCTCACTTCTTGATCATCTCCCTGCATAGACTGACAGTCACGGCTCCCTGCAGGTATTCAGCCCTTCCCGCTCCGATCCTCCAGCACTGACTGGAGGAACAGACGGGGTAGGGCCGGTACAGCTGGTTCTGCCTCTAGATAGGCAGATCCAGCTGTCACTCACACAGCTGGGGGGATCTCAACAGTAATGTCGGAATCCTTCCCAGCTGCGGCGGTCTCAGTATACCGCGAGCTGTAGCGCGCAATATACCGAGCTTTGGGTCACTGGAGGACGCTAGTATATGTCCTTCCGTGACCCTTAAGAGAACTATGCGGAAAAACCCTTACACCATAGTTCTCTTTTAAGGTCTCATTTACAATG